CGGCAACTTCTTAATTGGCATCTATGAAGAATGAAAATGCAAGAAACCGTCAGAACATATAAGGAAACTCGAAAATGTAGCATTACCACTGGTGCTGGTAGTACGTGGTTCCTCAGCCTTCTCTACTGCAGCATAGCTTGAACTGGATGCTTCATCACGGGAAGTAACACACTCGGAGGACTTTTCATCCGAAGGATCTGTCACAAAACCCACATTCCTTGTAATGGAAATTAAAAATTTTCCGTATTCATAAAATGCAGCGCTTAAGAATGAGATATGCTATTACTGCTTTTCTAATACTGTATCACATCTACGCCACAGAAAAAAGCCTGCCGTTCTATTTTGAAAAATTTACCCGCGATATGGCCTTGCGATTCCGCCAGATTAGAAAACAAATTCCGCTATGACTGTTCGTAGGTAAGTCGAACGCAGAATAAAAGGTCTACAGCACTTGTGCGATTCGCGGGAGAGCAAAAACTCACCTTCAATCTCGTCCTTTACGAAATCAACACCTGTTTCTTCATTCGCGTTTCGAATTGATTGCTCTTCCTTGGCGTCATCTATCATACTAATTTCTAAAAGTTGATCAAAATTTGTGAGTCACTAACAACAAAAGCCAGATGTACAAAGGGGCAATCAACCCGGGCTATATAAGCAATCGCAACATAACGCCCATTTATTACTACAGATAATGTATATACAAAAGCATGCAACAATTCATTTTCTCCAGTAGTCGACTTTTTCCATTTCGACAAGGGGAAGTAACTGGTCGGCGAAGTCTCTTAACTGCTTAGCAGCCTAAACTCGCATTTAATATGACTAACCAAAGGAAGAAAGAAAACGAAACGTAAACTCACAGCAGTGTATTCAGCAGAATCAGGCAAACAAACACTCATTTCCACAAGATAGGAGTCAGAGAATCGCTTCAGGTTGCTTTGATCATAATACCCAGCCTAAATCAAGAATTAAAGAATGAACATTAACAAGGATAATGAGCAAGAATCTTGAGCGTTATTTATCACAAGATGGGTTGTAAGCAGAACAATTCGCTCGAAACGGGAATCGAGTTCCGCACTACTCGCTTTCCAGGCGTTGTGCTACAGATTATATCAACAGGCACCGCTTTAACATAGCCCAACTTTCCACTTTGAATATTTGAGCTTTCAGCCTCGCGCTTCATTGCCGATGTAAGCTAACCGGCTCATCACATTAGACGCGTGGGTGGTCATAAAATGTGGTAAATGAATAATTGAAAGCTTGCTAAGGTAAGGGGTGCTCCGGTGGTGTAAGCGGTACCACAAAAGCCCGAAAATCGAGAGAGGCAGGTTCGATTGCACTGGAGCAAAAGGTTTCGCTGATAACTTTCACACGCGAACTGCGGCCCAAACAGCGTAAACAATCAAAAAACAATCCAAAGTTAATATTCCTAGGCGTTGAACGTTATACCTTCTCGGTTTTCTGAATCTGACTGATAACAACTTTCATTTTTCCATTTGTCCACACGGTACCCTTCGCAATGTACTCATAGTCCATGCGTAATCCTGAACTCGAATAGTAAGATGTAAGAAACGAAAAATCGTCATCCTTACCTAGTGTCTTAACGAAATCCATCATCAAATGGGAGTATGCGATTGAGTCAATCACTTTCCGAACGATCACAGGGCACTTTTGGTCAGGTTCCGGCCCTGTAACTTAGAAGTAGGACAAATAACTAAAAAGAACGATAAGTGACCAATAACCTCCAATATATCGAAACTGCCACTGGTGGCTGTTGAATGAGTCGACATTGAAGCGACGACGAAGCCTACGAATAAGAATGAATAACGGAAAGAATAACGCTTAGCACCCGAAAAGAAAATGGTCAACCTTATCGTAACATCGGGGTCTGTTCCCGTCCGCAGGCTGAACGAGAGATCGTGCTCGTGGAATTCGGTTGATCCGGGATCACAGAGTCCAGTCAAACGCCTTTCCAAATCCTGATAAAATAAAGTTTAAAAGATGAAGACGATTAATATCATGAGATCAAAAACCTGGAAAGGCATAAGATAAGGTCCCAATACTACCACTCGACAACCGTTCTTTACCCACCGGTAAATTGTCTGCAAACACACTCCCATACAGAATCAGCTCCTGACATTGATACGGCATAGAAGTGAGAGCAGCTTTCGACGCCTCAACAAAAATAAAGGGAATAAAAAAGAATAGAACCAAAATGGCAAACGGATGCTGAAAAAGATGCTTGAACAGAAGAGCTCCTACCTTCTTCCCCTCTAGATCATCCTCAGCTTCGTCCACACCTCCTCCGCGTGCTTTCATCATTCTTGGGCAGATTCAGATTAAATTACAAGAATGAAATGAAAAACACACAGGAGACAAATTTCAAGCGAGAATTCTGCAATGTTGCGTCGAAGTTTGAGATAGCGCGAATTTTTGTCTTGGAGCGCGTTGGCCATTAACGTTTGTGTCTTCCACGCTGTCGGTGAGCATTGCTATTAGCACTACTCTTTCCCTGTGTTTGACAGTTAAATATGTGTTTTTAAGATTATGAAGAAGCCAAGACGCCGTGTCAATGAATCCGATCTCGACTACACGAAAGGTGCAGAAGAAAACTCGAAAATATTGTTGAAGGAGAAATATGAAGTTCTTCGATGGACAGACACCGTTGAAATCAAAACGCCAAACCTCCTGATTCCTACGCAAATAGCTAACTATGTAGAGTCGCTGCCATTCTGTAAGATCAGTGTTCCATCGTGAGTCTTTGTTTAATTTTCATGCGAACCTGCTTCATTTTTTTCCTTTTCGGTATAATTATCAAGCTTTTATCTATTGTCTCGAGTTCTGAAGCGGAAGTGGTAGTTCACTCCAACCTACGTGAAGCCACCCGATCATTCAATACCACTAGTAAAGGCGAGGGGTGAGGGTCCAGTTTCCCAGTGAAATTTGCAAAAATGGAAAGCTGGTATTAGCAAAGCAATCCATTTTTGGTCATAAATCTGTTCGTAACCCCATGCTAATGTGCGAACATTGGGACTTAAAGTATAGTTGTATAGTTTATGCGCTGGCCCTCCATGCCTTGTTTTTGCTTTGATTCTAGGCGCAATGTGCCTCCCTCGGGGGGGGGGGGGGGGCAGTCTGCAGGAAGGCTACTAGGACTAAGCTTAACGGAGAGGGACGAGTTCTGCTTACCCACTCCGGATTCCTTCTTCTCTGAGGCTTGTTCCTAGAACTAATTCTTTCTTTGAATCTAGAACATGTTACGGGCGTTCAACCCCACCCCCCCCCCCTCCCGAAGCCGCATTGCGCCTGATTCTCCAGCTAAGTTATGCCCATTTCTTCAACTATTCTCAGGTTGGATTGAGTGAGGACGCCTCAATTTACCTTTCACACATTGGTTATGAACCACGCTTTTCACCATCACTATATTTGATTTTCTAAGCACAACTTTTAGAGATGAATCAATGCTCTGCATTATGTATACATTTTCTTCAAACACAGTAAAGCTCCGCGCACCACAAAATAATGGTATTTCAAGGCGAATCAATTGAGCGGTTCGGAAAAGTGTTAGAAGAAATGGGAAAAAGGGAGTTGGAGGCTAAAGAAATTGATTCACTTGACCTCTGGATTGGCTTTCGTTCGTTTTTCTTTACTCATTTTTGGTTCCCTTTCTTGTTTACATTTTATGTTCCAGCACTGCTGATCGTTTTGCAATAATGCATCATAGTCGTCAACTGGACGTTTATGCTATCGAAGGGCAGAATATAGTGCAGGAATCGAGCGTACAAGGTCCTAATCATTGCATTTCCCCTTCCATAGTTTTTCTTGTTTCCAGTCCTGGAAGACGAATTCCCACAGTACTGCTTATTGGAATTCAGTGCTTCTGGATCATTGCTTTTATCAACACGAAGTAGTGCACAGATTGATGTATTCGATCATCAGGGCGGGTACTGCTATGACATACCATTGGTTCGTGGAATATCTATCATTTAGTTTGATTTTTGTAGCCATTTTCCAACCGATATTTCGCTGTTAACTTCTTCAAGGAATCCCCTGAAAACAATATCGATCTGGTTTGTGCTATTTCTGCCATCCGAACTATTGCTAATACTTCAACAGATGATAAGTACCTCGATATTCTTTACGCATTGCAATACAATGGAACCCTATCCGTTTACAAAATCGGGTAAGCAACTTCACTCTCTTGATAAATATTGCTTCTAGTTTTCAGAGTTCGTATTTAGTATCCAGCATTTATTTGTTTGATGCCCTTTTAGGCGTTTGACGAAATATCAAAAGTTGTGGTCCATCCCACTTGGTATTGGCCTGGCTGGTACATTCTGTGTTTTACCTAAATATAATCTTCTGTTGGTTGCATCTCATTATCGTGCGTCCGCTGAGGTGAACTTACCGGGAGGATTGTGTTCTTTTCGATTAACAGATACTGAACCATATGCGGAACCAATAAGAATTGCGAGCGATCAAGGTGAACAGTTATCTTTTGAGTTACTCTCAATATTGTAAAGGCTATTACCATTGCAGTTTCAGCTGGCTGGCTGTCTCGTCTTCCTTTCAGCTCTGCTAGCTATGCGTATTTGGTTTCCATCTCTTTGAATGAGTCATCATCAAAGCTAATCGCTGTATCCAGCAATGGTGACTTCCACCTCTTTGATGTTAGTTGATTTAAATGTGTGAATTTTCAATGAAATTTTCTCATTTTAATGAATTTTCCTTCTAGATCCCGTATACACGTCCTGTATTTTCCATAAAATACATTTCCGGTCCGCGACCAGTTCAAGCCGTTTTCATCGAGGATGAGGTTCTTGTTTTTCATTTTTTGGTCTTCTCTTTGTAAACTGGCATCATTTCGCTTTTTCTCTGAAAATGTTGAATACATTCTGTAAGCTTTATTCTTGCTCATATATAGCATGAACATGCAATGTATGGCTAAGTGAAGGGTGCAAAATTAGGACTGCACTAGATCCACCGCGAATTACTCCAATATGAACTATCGTGGAGAAAGTGAAGTACAGAGGCGCGCAGTATTGGTATCCACCAGTTGTTGCTAGCGTCCGGTGCTTGAGGACATGAAGAAGTCGAATGGTTTCATGACTTTAATTTTTTCCCTGATCTTCACGGGCAGAAATCATTGAAGATAGCCGTCTTGGCAGTTGTAAGAGAGAAGGTCCGTTCTGTGGGGAAGCTTTGGGCCGACTGTAATGACCAGCTGGTCTACCAGTGGGGTCGCATTTACAGCAGTACTGGTGGTTGAGCTCATCCCCCATGATGTCATACATGATAAGTCGATGAAAGATCCAACGGCCGAGCTAGATGACATTGTCAACTTTCTTCAATCCACATTCAATTGTAGTGTGGCCATTATCAACTGCTGTCGCAAGTGCTGGTGGCTTGCATGGTCTTCTGTACGGTGTATTGTAGCGGATATAAATCCAACTCCATTACTCGATCGATCTTGGTGGATTTTAGAGGGAAGGCCCGCTCAAATTCCGTCCTTCTTGCATCCGTAACAGCAGACTTTTTACGTATCATAGGAGATTTTTCCAGCTTTTTAGTCTACTACTTTGGTTTGTGTGATTTGCACTTAAGCCGAAACGAGAAAAGGAGTCAGTTGCGTTGGAGCATTCTGTCTGGCTGAAACTGAAGTAGCATTGTCATTCTAGATTGAAGTGAATTACTACATGCTAGTGATATATTGGAGCCATTAAAATAACTACTGCACATCTACCGCCAAAATATGAAAGAGCTAGCGTTTTCTAGTGCAGTGGTCAATCGTGGGTGGGTCCGGGGAATCTAATTCTTGCTGTGAGCTGTGGATAATTCGTTTTTTTTTTTCTTCAGGAAGTTGGTGTCTTGTTCAACTCAGGAGAATTTGTGAGAAGCTCTCTCGATGACCTAAAAGAAGCGGTGTATTCCATACGATGTGCCGACAAATTCACATCGCGTACCACGTTGGTTGCACCTGCTCACAGAGAGCTATTTGTATTGGCTACAGACGTAGGTGTACATCTTCAAAGTGGCGTTTCCTTGTACATAGTTCGTTGTCCATCATTTAGACGGAAGGTAGTATTTCAGTTGGCAATTTTCAGGGTGGTACAGAAGCACTGCGTGAGGTGGCTCTTCAAAGGACATCGCTGGCGTGTCGTCTTTGGATTTCTACACTGTGGAGTTCTTTCAAAAATGTAATGAATCGATTTAAATCTTAACATTGGTAAAGTGTGAGCGTAATCTGATTTTAGGCTTGTTGTCGAATAAGCTGTCAGGTTGATGCTGGCTTTACCCTTAGAAAGGCAACAGCACTCGAGTCGTTGAACTCGCGCTCTTACACGCGGCGCACGGTGACACCTCCAGCAATTAGTTTGACGAGAACGGTTGGAACATATCGTTTAATTTAGTTCTTTTGGGTTTCTTATCGAGTTCACTCCCTGCCCGCAGTCACCCTGATGTTTACTGTTTGTTCAGTTTAAATGGGAGGATTATCACGTGCGAGGCCGTGCTGAAAGTCCCCAAGAGCCCAAAACCACCCGAAAGTTATAATACAATCGACATCGACGTGGTTCTCAAAAGAGAGTGGCGTGATATTTGTCACAGTGAGACAGTAGCTGTCGAGAGTGTAGATAACATTTTGGTAAGTATGGGAAAAGTTACCTTTAAGTGTTATTTGAATACTTCCTCCGTTTTATCAATCTATTTTTTTTCTATTTGTTATGTAAGGAATAGGCTTGCATTGGTTGAAAAGTCCTCACAAATGTTGCCCGGCCTTCACCAGAATTCATTTTTCTTTATTTGACTTAGAAAATTTATTGTTTCAGCGCCAGATTAGCGACAAAGAATGGGTGATTGAAACCTGCACAACAAGTGAAGCACCATCACTTCCAGTGCAGAAAGCGCTTGTGGATTTGGGTTAGTTTTGAGTTCCTGTTTTACTGCTAACAATAATATTTGGGGGTTCCGGGTCTGCCCTGTCCTAGGTCTTACGTCATCCAGGCCAACCAAACCTTCCATCACTCAGGGCTCGGTCAGTTTGTATCGGACCTGTCTGAGAGCATAATACACTGTATGTCCTTGGGCTGGGCCCTGCAACTTATTGTATAATAGTTGCCACCTTCGGAATGCATCCAGAACCCTGAATTGAAGTAAAATGCTTGGCGCATTCTAAAAGTGATTGACCAACACCACATGGTTTGTTCTTGCTTATTAAGAACTAAATCAAATATTTGAGTTAGCAACAGATGTAAGGATAGCGTGAGGGTAGGCACGCACTGTGTGTTCGTAGGCAGTGAGCCAAGATTTGGCTCAAATGATCAAGTCAAACGAGTATTCCAGGCACGTCATTCCCTAGTGCTTCCCTACTGTTGCAAGTTCGCCTGCATCACAATGCTCGCATTCTTGCGGTTTGCGAAGACGTGGATGAATATATTGAACTGCGTAATATGTCATGCCTGGAGGCAGCATTTCGATTTGCCGAGGTTCTCTTTACTACATTCGATTTACTTTCATTTTGAAGATGAAGGGAAGGGAGACCAGGCGGCCGTCTATGTATATGTAGGTAGTTTGAAATCGGTCTGACTACTTCTTCTCTTTCAGCGATTGGAGTTTGTCTTACTGGATCGCCTTATTGAGCAGAATTACTCTCTGCTTGTTCCATTTATTCTTGATATTCTGGCGCACATTCCTCCAAGCGTTCCGGCAAGCCGTTTCGAACATCTTCTGCCTTCAAGAAATGGGAGACCAATACAACTAGATAAGGCACGTTTTGTTTTTGCTCATTTTTCCATTATTATTTTTTTTTGTTATCTCGAAAACGGTTGCTATAATTTCTTGTAATTGGTTGTTTATGCTCTTAACACTGTCACTGCTGGCAATGAGAATCTTCTTCTCATTAGCTCATTCTCGAACCGTTGCGGATCCTCTTCTTTTATCATAACATTGCCTCGTCCGATCCAACTTCTTTTGTCCCTATATTCAATGCAGTCTTCTTTATAAACTTTTTCACACCTCTGTTTTGGAGCTTTTGTGATCCTTTGCCCTCACTTCAAAGTTCGCAAGCATTCCTTATCGGGTGATCCTGTTGCCTTCGCAGAAACTTTCCATGCTATGCAGTGCTCTCATAGAGCATCGTGAGCCTCTCCTGTACGCTCTTGGGTTTCCTGGATCACAGTCGTCGATCGCCGAGGATACCAAAGATTCCCTCTTGGGTGCTACCTTCCTCATTCGCTCTTAATATGGGTGCCTAGATCGCCCCAAGCTTTTTCGTTCTCTGTGAAATAGTTTTTGTTAGGGTTTGTATTAGTGGACCTTAAAAACATCGTTTTCTTTACATCTGACTAGACCGTCAAGAGGTCCATAGCTGATCTGTTGGACCTTAACAGATCAGCTATGGACCTCTTGTCCATGATCTGCTACTCTTCGTCAAGTCGGGTGATGGGCGCCTAGCTGTTTTTGGTTCATTGTAGATATCCTTTATGAAAGACATAGAATGTTCTCAATTTTTTTGTTTTCCGTTTCCTTTTTATATATTTCGGAGATCACGTCCGTCACTAAACTTTTCCGATTTGAAACCGTACTGTTCCTGAGAATGGGACAAGTTTTCTCATCAACAAGTTGGCTACATGAGCATTGTTTTAGTTAGAGCACTCCATCAAGCTCTCATTCTCTTTGAAGATATTACTGGAATCATACTGTTTACGAATCTCACCCGATTACCTTAGCATACACTATTTTTCTTTGTGAGTTAAAATTGTTGGTTTTCCTTTCGTGAAGTTCCTTGATTCTTTCGTTATCTTTCCCTCTTCTTTAGTCCTGACTCCATCAGTATTGCTTCTCACTTTATCCACTACCCACGTTCCGACCTGGTTTCAAAAAGTCGTGGAGCCTCGGATGGTT